ATATTGTTACAACAAAAAGGAAATTGTAATAAATTTAAGCCCAATCCAATTTGAGAATAGATAGCCGAAAAGATGGAAAACCACTTTGCCTTTCTTGATGGATGTGTGATTTATTTTTTAATGCATTGCGAAATTCAGATTAGCCAATTGGAATTTTGTGTATCCAAAGATCTAATGTCATTCTAACGATTTGACTAAACTAAAACGTAATAGTAAGTATTAGTATTGGCAAAAAAAATTACGAAATTTAGTATTAATAAAATTCATTGCCACTAAAAACGGTCAATTTTTCTCTGAATGAAAATTTAAATATAATGAAAAAAAAGAGAAAGCCACACTGATTGATTTAATTATTAAACCGTAAAGGAAAAAGACATTTTTCTGATAGTGTTGTGTCCATTAAAAAATTTTTGGGGCAGCTTATATAAGGCTCATAAGTTTAAAATTTGCTGCTAATAATAACCAAAGCATAAACTAATAATATAAGCTTAAGCTTATGACACACACACATATATATCAACAATAATTACGACAAGCATCACATTCATTTATTTGCTTTCTCACGCTAACTAAATAGTAAGTGTAATGCGCTCCTAACAATTAAAACAATATAAGCAAACCTTTTGACATACAAAATGATTTAATTTAATAAATAACTTTTCCACAAAAACAATTAATTTTCCGAGAGCCAAATTAATAATCAAAATCATCTTTGCATTTATTTACTAGTTGTGCATACATTTTAATTCCTAATATTATTATTCTTACTATTCCTAATATTATTATTCTTACTACTCCTATGATTACTACTACTACTATTATTATTATTATTATTGTTGTTGTTGTTGTTGTTTGTTTGTTCTAATCTCTCGTCAATACCATCAATATGTAATAAACTACTACTTCTACCATTATTTGAAATCATACTACTAGATCTTCCTCTACTGCTAGCATAACTATCACTACGTCTACTATGCGAATTTGAAACGTCGCTATTTCTTCCCCTTCTTCTTCCCCTTCTCCTTCTCCTTCTATCACTTGTGGTATCGCTATTACTTCTACTAACTACTTCATCACTATTACCAATCATAATTCTTCTAGAGTTACCAAATGAGATATCATTATTTTTTCTATTTTTACTTTCATTGGTGTCCTGATGATGGTGACGACGCCTTCTTTGACTACCATTATGCCTAGTATCACTATGTCTTCGCCTTCTATTGCTATTCCTGGAACTACTGTGTTCTCTACTGCTACCAGCACTACTATTTGAATATCTACTCCAATCAGAATTATAACCACCACCACCACCACCGCCACTTAGTCTCCTATCTTTTGTGTATTTTTGTAAACTGTAATGTTTAGTTCTCTTTTGTTTTTCTAAAAATGAGGGATGTCGATCATTTTCCACCAATACCTCAATGGTTACCGCCTCCGATTCTA